AAAGGACATCTTGGACATTGACCACTCGACTGTAGCAAAATGATCTATTATTTCCCTTTCTGGATCTTTTTACAACTTCAAAAGAATGTATTACTGGGTGGAAATTCTCTTTGCTCATTCCCAAGGTCTGTTATTCCTATTGTTTATACGTTTGTTATTTGATAAAACAATATTTTTTTAATAAAAGCTGTCTGGAGATTAGTTACTACACCTCACTTTGGACAGTATTTGCATGAAGGGCTTTGTCCTGCAACTGAAGGGACCTTTAGACCCTTTCCTAAATATCTGATATCCATGTGTTGACCACGGTAGTTTGCAGAGAAGCTGTGGGGATCTCAGCACCAATGGTAGATTCCCACTCCAAGGGACCGAGGGTGAGCCCTCCTTTCCCAATAGGATGAGCATCTCATGGTGGCAGTTTGTGGTCCCCTCATTCTTTTCCCCCAACCTCTGGTAGGTACCTTCTTCTGGGAAATGGGAAAATGTCTAAAGATTTGGTACTGCATTGAGCCACCTATTAATTCAAAGCAGACACCCATTTATGTTTGTTATGTACACGTCATGTTAATACTTCTGTGGTTTAAGAATGCTTCAATTGTTGACTGATCTTTCTATATGTGAGCTGCCTTATGGAATTTTTTTTAATAGGAAGACATAACTTCAATATCCTACATATACGGCTCAAGCCCAGGTTATCTGAAGGATATATTCTCTCATGCAAACTGACCAGTTCTTTTGTGATCTTCTGTCTGTCCTACCACGCTCTCAAGGAGGTGGCCTTTTCAGTGGCTGCTCTTAAACTCTGGAACTACTTTTCCCATAGAGGTAGGATGGCAGCCTTCTTGCTGTCTTTCTGCAGGTCGGTGAAGACCTTTTTGTTTTGAAGGCCATTGAGAACTGATTGCTTAGGAGAAAGAAGCCTTCCGTAATATGCCGGGTTATCTGTTTGTTGTTTCCTTTTAATTATGTAGGTACGTTTCTAATTTTTTAATACCGTAGTTTAATTTCATTTCAAACTTATGTATGCTGTGAATTTTTAGCTATGTTTTAACTGTTTCAAGCTGCCTTGAGACGAAAAGGCAGGGTAATGATTTGGATTATGCTGATAGGTGACATGGGGCTCTGGGGCATCAGGAGCTACTGCATGCCTGCCTAGTCCTGGAACTACAAAGAGAGATTCATCTTCTGTCATGAGCTGCTTCATCTTCTTGGCTATCTGTACTCTTTCTCCATAGTCCTTTTGCTATGAAGGGAATACTAACTTCGGACATTATCACACATGGGCCAGAAAGCGAAAATAAAAGTGGAAATGAGGCAT